GTTGGTTTAAAGGGAAACCAATAAATCCCCCAACAACAAAAAACATATCTCAACCAACCAAAAACATATCTCAACGCAGGCGCAAGGCGCAAGGCGCAAGGCGCAAGGCGCAAGGCGCAAGGCGCAAGGCGCAAGGCGCAAGGCGCAAGGCGCAAGGCGCAAGGCGCAAGGCGCAAGGCGCAAGGCGCGACGTTGCGAACGACGTGTTTTTGTGCTTGTTCGTCGGAGTCGAATTCCTTTTTGGAGTGCGTCGAAAGGATCAGCCATCAGCTGGACATCGGCACTCAGCCATGAGACATGACGGAAAACCAACTTGGGGTCCGCAAGAAGATCAACATGCCTTGCAGCTTGGTGGCAACAAAAGCCTCTCCCGGGCAAATGATCAAGGGCTCGTCCCTCCGAAGTTGGGATTTCCTAAGCTTCGAGGCAACAAGGTGCATGCGGAACGAACACTTCCTATGGCTGTCAGCCCCCAAAGACGTGACCCCCACAAATGGTCCCCAAAAAGAGAACGATAGGCCCCGGCCCTAATGGACCCCATCGGTCGCTGTGAGCCTCTATCGGGATTGGGGAACTTGGGCCAAATGCCAAATTCGCAGTGACAGTGTCCATTCCCATTGGCTTCCCTCCAAAACAACACAAAATGGGTACCCTCCAAAGCGGCTGGAGAGTGTTCGAACCAATCCTGCCGCCCTTGTTCCAAACTGACACCTTTCCAAGCATGTGCGTTTGGGCAGAAGGGCAACGATGCACATGTGTCCGAACATGGGAAAGGACCTCATTGATGGTTGCAAAGGATCTCAAACAGGAGAATCAGAACTGGTCTGTAGCAAGGGGCTCAAGATCAAAGAGGCGGTCAGTCTTGACGACGCGCCCTCCCAAGACTCTCTGCCGACACATTGAGAGACCCTTCTTTCAAACCCCAGAAGCTTGGCCTGCTTTTGAAACGATTGGGCGAACATGGGGATCAACCCTTAGAACCTGACCGGGGCAGCCCTGTTCCTCATATGTGGCATGGGTGAACATCACACAGGGCAATGTTCAGCCGCCCAAAAAGGCAATGTTTAACCACCCCAAAAAAAGGTGGTATTCTTTCGAAAGCACCCCTTTTGGGTTGGATTTGTTTAAGGGCAACCAAATGGGTGTGTCGAGCTTTTCGGTGACGCCCCAAAAATAATCCACAACCGCGGCTCTCCTTTTGGTCTCCGTTTACAACCATCAAAAAAAGGACAGACCCGAACGGACCGCGAATCCCATGTTTGGGTTCCGTGTTCCGAGCGATCCGAACCCGGCCGCCCCCAGTCCAAAGAAAGAAAAGCCCGAAAAGCAGAACGCCCACGAGGAAAGAGGCAACAAAAAGAGAACCAAAACAAATAAAAACTAAAACGAAACACGTAAGGAGCAAGACAACAAACACAAACCCCCATATGGAAACAACGCCGCACAGAAAAAAAAAACAAGAACAAACAACACAATTCACACAAACCACAAACCACAAACCACCAACAAACAGAAACCATCCAGAACACAACAGCCAAGACAAGCTGCCTGAAGCGTAAAGGAAGTCGGAATGTCTGGCGCGCCGCTTGAGCCGGTGATCTCTAGCGGAGGTTGCGGACCTGCTGAGCCACGTTTAACACGGCCAAGCTCCTCGCAAACGGACCCCGTGCCACGTTCGTAGGTGTGAGGGTAGCCACTTGGTTCTCACAGGTTGCAACCTGGACCCTTTCCAAAGCATGCCCGTGCCAGGTCCTGCTTCTCTTCGGCGGATTGAATTTGCGGTGGCGCCTTTCAGGTTCCTGGAATCCATGGGCCAACCAATTGGAGGAATCCCACAAACATGATCGGAAGCATAACCGCAGCAGCCTTTGCTCTCTTAGCAAAACAAGCTGTTTTGTTTGGGGATTGGGGCAAACAGGGCCGGCTTCTTGCCGCCAATCAACCCACATCTTCCCAACTGCTCCCTGATGTTGCCCCAATCCCTGCCTGACCCAGCCCTTACTCTGAATTTCGCAAATGGATTCTTGCAAAAAAACTTCGGTGACAGGGTTGGACGCCAAACTTCGATATGCGAGCCACTGATGTGTGTCCACTGCGACCCGGGAATTCACAGTTCGCATTGAGAACTGAGCCAAAAAAGGAGCCCCTTAAGAGGCTTGTGGGATGTTGACGTAGGCACATGTTGGGGCTCCGTCCAAATGGCCAACTCGGGCAATTGGGTTCCATATCGCGTTCAACAAAACCAATTCAATGTTTGGGCGGGCCCACGGCACGGGAGTGTTTCCTAAAATAGGGCCACCCCCTTTTGGAGACGAAAGTGAAATCAACCAGTTGTAAGGAGCCTCCTATTTCAGAAAAGATTCTCCAATCAGCAAATCACCAAATGAATGGGTTCTGCTGAGGCTACGTCTACGTTCTTCCGGACTGCAAGCCCAGGAAGACAACTGCTGCATGGCCCCCGCTTTTGCGCTGGCTTAGAGAAGACACAAGAAGCAAGACCACAAAATCGTGTGTTTCGGGTCCAAGTCCCTTTACACGCTTATTTTCGGGGTCCGAGTCGCCTTGCGTTTTAAAAAAAAAGAAGGAAGAAGCTGGGCTCCAAGTCCCAACATGATTCACACACACACACAGACGCGCGCACACACAGGCCCCCATCTTCCCCTTGGCCTGCCGTTTCGGGGCCTCGGGCCCAGCGGGTGCAGAGCATGGAGGGCGCCGCCGGCGGCAAGGCCGCGAAGCCCACCAGCGCGTACTCGGCGCGTGTTCGACCGCTTGGACCGGTTCTGCCCGGAGTTTTTTCTTGGGGGGTCCCAATGTTCTACCAAAACTCGGTTGCTTTCTGCTCCTCTACTGGAAAACCCATTAGTTGGCAAAAAGTGAAAGTCGTCACATCCCTTGGCAAAATACGTTTCAGCCAAAAAGGGGCTGAAGGGTATCGGAAGCCGCGGTGAGGTCTCCAGAGAAAGATCCTCATTTCAGGCTTCGAATATACAGAGGGCCTCTGCCAGTTTTCTAGGGACGGCCAAAAGGTTTAAAAAAAAAAAAAACAGTGGAAGTACAAGGACCCAACTCTAGGATAGCCTCCCCATACACACACACACACGAGCTGTATCTCTTGGTTACAGCCTTTTGTGCTCGAAGTTCGGGAGATCTCCCAATGTCCCGAACCCCACCAAATTTGCCATAGACGAAACCGGAACATATAACAATATCATGAATTGATTTGACCGAACATGTCTTGACCCACTTGATTTGAAATGGTCAAATCAATCAAATTTCATCATAGTCTGACCGAACTTCATGGTTTTGTTCAAACAAATCAAGTGAAGGTGTCTTGGCCGGAAGCCCGGGGGTCCAGCTGGTTGCTCGCCTGTTTTTCTTGGACAAGCTTTACCAAAACGGCCAGCGCCCCTCGATTTTGGGGGCATTGCTCGCATTGCTCCTGAAGCTCCAGCTACATTAGCAGATCAATTTGGCAAGGGCAAGTCAAAACCTGAATCTTCAGCATGTCCTTTGGGTTCCAAGCGCCAATCCGCGATGAGCCTTGGAATCGAGGGCTGCACTCCTGCAGGAGTGCAATGGAACCCCAAAAACCTTCCTCTGCAAAGAGGAACTTCTTTTGGCCATGTTAACTAGGGTAGAACAGAGTTTTGAGCCCTTTCTGCCGGCTGAAAACCCAGACACAAGGCATGCAGGGGGCCACAATCCATCAAGATCCTGGCGAAACAGGTCCAACAAATGGGCGTCGAGGCTGTTGGCATTTGCTGACAACCCAACATCCCCCACTCCGGGTCAAAGCCAAGCGGCAGTGAGTGACGTCTTGCCCACCTGGACAGCGGCATTTCTCTCGCAGCATGGAGAGACATCGGCTCAGGGGAAATGGTAACTTGCCCCTGGGATGGAAGTTTCGGCAGGGAAACCCGCCTAACACCAGGAAGAGGGGCACTAGCACTACTGGGGGCCTCTAGGCACGGCGGACTCCTCGCAAACTCCTCGCATCACTGTGCATCACAAGGTCTGGCTGCCAGCCGCCTGCGCTGAGCCGAGGGTTGCCAGGCGTTCAGGCCACAGAAAGCGTCCAGTGCGCTGAAAGTCAGACGCAGAAGCAGAGCTCTTGGCGTGCTGCGGCTCCTTAGTCTTCAAAGACTCCCACTCCCGCCATCTTCGCATGATGTGGCCTTTGTGCGCGCTTTTCTTGAAGTCACGGCGCCCCCGTTGGGGCCCGTGGGGCGAGGCTCGCTACTTTGTTTTTTTTTGCCAATGAGGCAAAGGCACCGGACGGCAGCCAGGACTGCAGCCCTTTGGCCCTTGGCAAGTCAACAAGTTCGTGTTTCTTGTGCTTGCACATCCGCTGGGAGGTAAACTTGGGGGTTTGATCGGCTTTTGGCAACTGAGTTTTCGCTGGCAACGCAGAAATGGATTGGAAATCTGTCCCATTTCGCAGGAGGCCTTCACCCTCCAACTTGACACATGACTGACACTTAGACGGCTGGGAGAAGTGCTACAGCGCCCACTCTGACAAGGGTTTTGGGGCTTGATGGGAGGGCAGTTTCGGAATACCATCTTAGCAATTACTCCTAGGTCATCCAAGCACTGTCGCCGGCCGCTTAAACTGCTTCTTCTTTCATACACCCAGTTTCATGATTTTCAAGTTGGTCCCTGTTACTGTTGTATAAATATATCATATGTGATTCATATTCGGCATCAGCCAAAGTCATGTTTTTGGTTAGTCATATCGTGGCACCTCAAACCCAACTTGATACATTGAAGCCAAACATATGGGGAGTAAAAGGCCCCCCCTTAGTGGTTGAAACTTGGTGCAAGTCCCCACGTCCCGAACCCCAAATGGGCATACATAGACTATAGACAAAACAGGATAATATGTTCACCGAACCTTTGGCCCCAACATACCGGGGTTGAAAACCAAAAAAAATACAACGAGGTAAGGTCAAAGAGGGCAAACTCCTGTTGCTGCTGGTATGTCATCCCCATATCTTCCCTTATTGCTCCCAAAACCTTCCTTCCGGCTGCTTCTTCCGTTCTCTGAGCACGGATGCAACTTGTTAGGAAAATTGCCTGCATGAACATTCAACGCTGTTCTCATGGTAGATGCAACTTGGACTTGGAATTGCCTGCATGAATTCATGAACCAACACTTACACACACACACACACACCAAAACCCCCCAACCCCCCCACCGGCCCCGTTTTCACCAGCTCTCCTTTGCGGAAGCTCGCTTCGCTCCAACCCATTCCGCCAAAAAGCCCGGGCCTGGCCGGGGCCCATGATCACCAGCTGCGCCTCGTTAACCAGTTGGGCGCGGCTCGCGCGGCGCGTGGGTTTCGCGCGGTTTTTGCTGGTGGATTCCGCCCGTGGAATGAGTGGGAGCACCGAAAAGGAGTGGCCTGAATCCTTTGATGGGTGTACCTAATCACGACCCCCTTTTTGGAAGAAATGCAGAACCCCGGGTAGGTGGTAAAAAGAAGGTGGGGCTTGCAACATGGGAAAAACCCCAGGCGCCCTTGCAACATACCAAGTCCCAAATACTTAATGGGTTCCATAAAGGGTACAAAAGCAACCCGAGATCAGGGCTCCATATTAACAGAACATCATGGGCCCCCAAATCAGTCCAAAAACTGAAACCTCGTGTGTGAGGTCGATTGAACTCATTTTACCAAACCGAAAATCATCACACCAAAAGGCGACTTGTTTCAAGCTGGCCTTTCCAAAAACGCACGCTTAAAACCACCCCTAAAAAACATGCATAACATGCGGGGGTCTTCTGTGAGTCTCTGAGTGTACTTTTTGGCGGTGTTTGAAAGGGAACCAGGGAACACCACCCATGCGGGGGGGGGGGGGTCCCCAGATGCTCATGGGAAAAACTTTGATCGGCCCCTGGGTCGGTTTGGAGCGGGCTGGATGGGCCCCTGGCTTCTCTGCATTCCCCGCCTGGAGGTTGTTGTGCCGATTCTTCAGCTCCGCCAGCTTGTCCATGGCCTCGCATCTTTTGGTTTCATGTCCGGGCGTGTAAGGCCCTCCTTTCGGCGCTCGGTGGGGTTGTCTGCAAATCATTGGCGCTTTTTCGACCCCTCCGGCAAAAAAAAATATCCAGTAGCGATAGAAAACCTTTAAAGCCAACAGGGGAAAATAAGAAAGACATGTTCTTCAGCAAATGGAAGCTGTCCAGGAAACCGCGGCGCTCAGGAGAAGCAGGGAGGAACCAGCCGTTATTCAAAGGAAAGGCACTAGTTTTGGGCGCTCGCTTGTTTGGACACATACGCCCGAACCCAGAGCTCGCACAACAGAAGTGTCAAACTGCCGCAAGGGTCGATGTCGCGAACTGGGATGACTAAGCGTGGCAACCGTGTTCCAAACCTTAGAGGGGAGTTCAAAATGGGTTCAATCAACCTCCTTAGAGGCTAGTTCGTGTTCCCTGATTCCTTGTTTTTCTACTTCCCAAGTGGGTGAGCCAGCCCGTTGTCGTTGGTCGAGCGACGCCTAGAAGCAACCATACAAGCTAAAGCGCATGCGGGACGCCCAAACCCCCTGTGACTTTGGGTGCTAAGGTGAGTCGGAGGGAAAAAATGGCCGACAAGGGCTCTGAGCGTTCATGTTTTCAGGATGCAATTGGAGCCCTGTTGAAAGCCAGTCGCAAAGGGTACTTGGCCTGTCTGGGCATGGTCTCTGAATTTCTGGTAGGGTACATTCTGCCAAACTTAGAAGCCGATCCCAAGGATGCCATCCTCTTGCTTTCGGATGTGATGTACGTTGTGATACATCGCAGCCAGCGTAGGCTCGCCAACTTCCAGGGAAGGATTTCGCAGGGACAACCATAGGTGGAGGTGATTTCAGAGACACTCGGGCCTGTGTAACCGGCAGCTCGAATAACCAACAATTTAGCCAGGGGGCTCCAGAAATACGCTGAGACATCCAAGAATGCCGCCGTTCCTGGTACTCAGAGACGCGGCCGTGAGTGATATGAGCGCACTGCACGAAATGTGCTAGATCCTCATATGCCTCATGCTCGACCGTCGGCTTGCAGTGGCCCCGGCCAGACGCAGTTGAGTTCAAGGAGCGAACCAGCGCGCAAGGCCACGCCATTTTCCTGCAGCTCGGTCTGCAGTGCAGGCAGTGCCTTGAGGTGTGGGAGGGAGAGCCTCTGGCCCAAGGCTCGAGCGGGAAAACCCACTGCTAGAAGCCTTCCCCGCCCTCCCCAAGCTTTCCATCCATCCCAAACGGCTCTTTTTTCAGCAATCCCCTGAGCTCCCAAAAACCCCGCGCCGTCAAAACTCCTGTGAAAACAGTCCTTCCAAGGGATGAAGGGATTGGTTGAAAGGGTATTTTGCCGATGGCAATGGGCTAGCTCGCCATCTTCCGTAGCCGGAACCTTGAGCTGTGCAAATCATAGCGACCTGATGAAAGTTCTTAAAACATTCCACGGTTTAGGTGGTGAATGGTAAGACTGTGTCCCTCTAGGGACATAGTCTAAGGCTCCCAGCGCTGGTGGCAATGTTGAACTCGCCCTCGTAGCCTGTCTTTCAGCGACCCGAAAAAGTCGCTTCTGGCGGTGCTTAAAGGCAAACCGACAGAAAGTACGCCTTAAACAACCCCACCGGGGCGTTGTATGAGCATTTACTGGTATTTTGAATGGTGCTCATAAAGGCACCCCAACCCCAAAGATCAGGCCTCATGGATCTCGAAATCCGATCGCTATCCGAAAGGATCCCGAAAGAGACTGATCTTGAGACCCGGTGAGGATCCTAGGAGACCGAAGGCGCCCCAAATGCCTCTCCTGAGGTGAAGCTGCTGACACTTTGACTTGCAAACAAACCCACGGCTGCAATTAACAGCTCATGAAAAGCATGGGCGGAAATGGTGGGTTCCTTTACCGTCTCGGGGGAGGATCGCTGAACTCCAACAACACTAGAATTTGGCAACGGGGAACTGAGTCATACCCAAAACGAGAAGAGTCTACCCAAAAGCGATTGGAAGAAAAAATGCGGCGGCGGCCTCACGTATTGTCCATGTACCCAAACTTGTTGAAAAGCTCACCCAGAAAAGCTTCATCTACCAAGCTCAACTTAGCCACGGTCAATACTCATCACAGAAATTGGCAAGAACCCCCATTTCCCATCGATATGTTGGGCTCTTCTGCTCCGGGTTGTCCCCTTTACTACAGAAGACGACCCGACACAAATTGCCCAGCGGGCGCCTGTGTTGATGACCTTCATCTTCCTGGCAAAGGCTCCAGCTTTGGGCGCTTTACTTTTTGTTTCATATCAAAAAAAAGTTCAGTTCCCTAAGCCAGAATAAATGGGCCCGGAAAACCCTCATGTTCAAACTCTGTTGGCAGGACTCTCCCCAAGAACCATGGCAAAGAGGGAGGATGGAGTATACCCACAACAGCTTGCCTATAGACAAGTCGAGCTTAAGCCCGGAAAGCCAAGGGTTAGCCGCGAGCGTGGGGTTTAAGGATACTGCAGGGGCAAATGATGCTGGACATACGCAGGTGAACCATAATAAGTTGGCAAGCTGAAATTCGACGGATTCCCAAGAAAGAAATACTCACGAGAGAGGCCACCACACTTTGCCAATTGAATCCCCCTTGCAAGGTTTCCTGGTAGATGGGAAGCGGGAGCTAAGCCCTTTCTGGCAAAGCCGTCAAGAAGGACTTGCCATTTTCGTTGGTTGTGTTCAAAGGGAAGCCCGCCGCCAAAGAACGATTAAGAATAGGTGCTACCCGAACAACTGGGTAACATGCTCTGGAAGGAGCAAGAGTAGGTCAACCAATCGCAAGCAAAGCAGCCCAGATTCACGCTTCATCCGGGCGTAAAGCAAAACCTTCCACTGATTTCCAGTGGGAGATGCCTAGGAGATGAGCTTCCTATTTAGAAACAAAAAAAAGACTGTTCGGTACCATGTAAGTGGGAGGGAGGGTAACACAGAGCGAGCGCCACAACATGTGATCCCTCAAAGCTTGCCATACTTCCCCTTCCTGAACATCAGCCCACTCAAAAGACACTTCTCAAGCATCTGCCCCCGCGCCTAGATTGCAAACACCGCGTTCGAATGCCACTGGGTGAATCACCCACTCACATGGGAAAGCACCGTGGTTTGACCCTTCTGATACCATAGCGCGGAGAGTCTTCAATTCTTGCTGGGCGGGAACTTGAGGATGACCCGTCCTCAATTATGCCTGTAATAATGATAACAATAATTAATAATAATAATAATAATAATAATAATAATAATAATAAATAGCAATGTATAAAGGTAAACGTAAACAACCAGGCACAGAAAGCGTCCACGATCGCTGCGACCGCCGCAGCACCACACGATCCCCGCGTTGTGGATCAGAGTGAACAGGATCTTGTTGGTCTCACCCAGCGTCAAGATCGCCCCTTCAATGGGCTCTACGTCAAGTTGAAGCCCGTCCCGCGGCTGTCGCCGAACTGCTTCGTGTATCTGCTCAAGTTCTCCCTCCCTTTCGCGGTCAGCACCTCCCACGGACGTTCTGCGCCGAGCCTGACCCCATAGCTTTCAGCTATTGAAAAAAAAAAAAAAGGAAGTGGGGGATGCGCCCAACAAGGGGGACTCTTCCACGGGGACTGCGAGTTCTTTGGGATGCCGGGTTCGGGGCAGGTGCTGGACTCCCCCGCCAGCGTCCGGCTGTCCTCCCGGTGAACTCCAGGGCCTCTTCAAAGACCTCGAGGAGGTTCTCCACGATCTCCTGGGGTCTCAGCATTCCAAGCGGAGACCCGGAACTTGCGCCTTTCTTTCCTCCAAGCATCCATGGGGGACATCAATGGGGGAGCCGAACGACCGGAAAAATGAAGGACACACCCAAGTGGGGCTCCTCTCACCAAAATGACGGGCCCGAAGTTGGGCGTTTGGCTTGAGGAAAGCGTTGACAAGGGGCTTCCCAACCCAGAGATTCCCCATGAATGCCCTCGAAGCGCAACGTGGGAAATCACGAATGATAGTGTGTGTGTGTGTGTGT